TTTGTCATTTTTTCACAAAGCGAGCATTTATCGAAAAAACGACCGGACTTCATGCAAAAAACCGGTGATCATGCACCTGGATGTCCGTGCGACTCTATAATGCACCACCTTCATCCCAACTGACGCCCTTCCTCCTGCATAACAGAAAGGATCAAAGCATGGCCAATATTAGCCCAAGTGTTAGGCTACAACATAGGGATCATTCCCGCTAATAGCGATCTGCGAGTTTAGTGCAAAAACGCATGATCGCACCGGAGAGCCTGTCGTGTTCCAGCCTGGGTTACTCACTGCAACAGCACTATAGCGCTGCACAATAAAAAAGTATAAAAAAGTAGATTGGCCTAATTATTGCGCAGGCTGCACTAGATTTCAAAAGCTTGCCTTGGTTAGTTTAACCTAAATTACTTAGCAAATTAAAAAAAGGAATAATCTCGAAGTTCCTGTGCGTAACTTTTTTATTCACGTTATGTTAACAGTAATTAGGAATTTGGCTGAGATTATTACACTTAAAAGCACAGAGAGATCCAAATGTTGTCTTGAAGTTTCGAAGATGCTGCTCCAAAAATTTCAGCTTTTTATTTTCCACAGTACTGGAGCTGAATTCTGGACAAGCAAACGCATGCATAATACGAAACCTCGGCATAAAGCCCATTTTGTTTTAATAATGCATATAAAAAACCAGCTTGGCATCGATTTCAATTCTCACAGTTCCAGTATTCGGTGATTTTGGCGACATGCAGAACTGTGTTTACAGATAAAATCAAATGAGTGCTGCCACATAATTTACTAAATAATGATTTATGTTTTTTTTGTTAGAAATAGCGTAAAGAACAATTGCATCACTATGATGCAATTCCCCGGTCTCTGGTTCAAACTTTGGACACTCTACCCCGTTAAAGTTTTGCAGTCATAGCAGTCTCTGACCCCTGGAGTATAAAAGCATTTTTCCCCAACCCCGGGATCCCAGAACTATTTTCAGCTACTCGAAAAAGCTACTCCCTACCGACTTACCCTTGTCCTAGCGAGCTTCGACTCCCCATAATCTCGCCACCCTTTTTTTTATTGTCTTTTCTTATTTTGCATTGTATAACTTTAAGTAATTCATGTATTTATAAGTATATATGTAAATGAGTGTTTTCCACATACACATACACGCATACATACGTACATACATACATACATACACACGTACATACATACATACACACATACACATACAGGGCACGCCATTAGCCTCGTCTATTAAGTTTTAAGGTCTTAATAGTGCGAACAAGTGGATGAAAACACTGTGGCACAGCTTAGGTTTATTGGGAAGAAAAAGGTTTGAAAATGAGCTTCTCCTGCAGAATTTATTTGCTTCGGCTTAGAGAGGTCGAAATTTGTTTGCCAAATGGCATTATCTGTAGAGAAAGACCAAAAATTTTTCATGATTACAAATACAGTTTTGTTGGCTGGCTGTACACTTTTACGCCAGCAGCCTTATCACTGTTCGGCGAAATGATAAGATAAAGCTGCGACAGTATAAAAAGGTTCACCGGATAATCTTTCATGTGTCGTCGACCAGTTTCGAAATTCATCTTTTCTTTGGACTCCCCTTGTCTTCCCTCTCCCCCTGCTTTCCCCCGTCACACATACACAAATACACGTACACACACATACGTATACATACAAATACGCAAACACGTGCACTCACTCACATACAGACATACCTTTCTTAACAGTTTCTCTTTACATTTCTTTCTTATATGACTTTTCAACAGTTAAGTTAGATTAAAAGAATTGTTATCAATAAATAAGGTTAGTGAGAGTCATGGTATGCACACAAAGCACTTCTGTTTGAAGAAAGTGCTCAAGTTCGATTCACTTCTGTCAGGAAATTCCATTTAAAAATATTTGATTGTGCATGATTTCTTGTAAAATACAATGCACTGTTTTTATAAATCCTTCTTTGTGCACTGTTTTGCAAATCAAAAACTCATCGTTGCGCAGACAGTCACAAGTACATATATGGGTATGCATGCCTGAATTTTTACTTGGCAGCCACAAAATTAAGGTACTGCATTAAGGCACGGTTTCCAGCAATGGCAGGGCCAAGGATCTGAAATCAAATCCAGGACCACTTTTTTGTCGCAACTCTTAAAACCGTATAATATATCATGACGAACAAAGTTGCTAATTCGAAATTTTAGAAGTCACTTCAACGTAGACTGCGAAACCGTTTAAAGCTAGCTTTTAAATAGTTTACCTGTATTATAAAGATTAGTATACATGGAGATTTGCATTCACTGAATGATGCAACATAGATTGCTTGGGATCACCTCCCAAACTCAGGATAGCCACGTTCGCGCTGATTTTAAAGTTTCTAAATAATTCACAGATTCAAAAATCTGCCCTTTTAATTTATTATTAGATTTGCACTTTTAATTTATCGCGAAAGAAAGTGAACTGAATTGCAGCCCTCAAACGTAAATGTGCAACGCTTTGTGGCTTCATACTTGTCCAAAATTTTGTTTGTTTTTAAGCATCAGGTGGACCAGAATGTACGATCTGATCGCATTCTGCACTATACTAGCGTATGTGTTCGCGCGTTTAACAGGTACTCGCCAAAAGCAGTGACTGAATCAGTCTTCCAAACTGCATCACTATTTATTTGTACTGTGATCCAATTTCCCACAAGTAATGCCTCTTCAGGTGGAAACTTAGTGATGGCGTAGTTACGGTTTTTCTACGACTAAAAAAAGGAAACACTTCTGAAGAGTCCTGATGCGTCGATTATATTACCCAGATTTGAGGTGGTAACTGAATGTTTCAGCCCAGCGTGCATTCAGCTTCTGTGGCTTAAAGTGAAATTTTGGAACGCTCTGCGAAGTGCAGCAACAAACAGTCGTGAACAGGCAATTGTCATTGAGGGCCTATTGATTTCTCGGGCGATAACAAAAGTTTAGCAAATTTTGTGCTGTCTGCCACCTTCGGTGCGGTCTCTGTTTGGCTCGGTTTGAACGACAAACACAATTTTTCTGGGGCGCATCATCTTCACTTATTATTAATAGTTTAATGAAGAGCACCATTGAAAGCGATCAGCGAAAATGTCAGTTCATAACGCAAAAGGAATGGGTATTATTACATCGTGCAAGGTAGCATCCTGAGAATTATGCATACAGCTTACCCAGAAGAGAATGTGCAGCCCCGCAATGTTGTATTTGTGAATCCTTTACAGTATATTACTTCATTTACACATTCGCTTCACTCCCAGGTAGCACTTCAAAAAGTTGAACAGCTTGACTACGCTACCAGTGAATGCCCTGCTTATGTGGAGCTTCAGAATGGAATGCTGGCAGTTTTTAAGTGACCAAATCCACACGTGTTGCTGGCACTCTAGCGACCCCGACTCCTCATGTAATTTCATCCGGCGGTTTTAATCCGCTAACACCGGTGAAAGCAACTGGAAAATGAGCATTCCCGACTTCTTCATGTTATTTCTCAACAGACTTTCTCTTCCTACTTCGTCAACTCTGTCCTATTCCGTGACTGCCAAGCCTCTAGAGCTTCAACAGGGCATAACAGGGAAGAAACTGGGTGTTGCGGGATGACAGCAATCCTGCCTTGCGAAGCAGTGTTCCAAATTCGTCTTAAAATGAACCAGCATTTCCTAACATCATTTGGACGGCCGTAAACAGGACGATGGACACAGACCTGACATCCGCAGTTAACAGGAAGGAAGCTACTCTGCTATAATTAGACATGGCCGAAATGAGATGATGTTTTTAGTTTTGCAGTGCATAGTCTGTGCTCGAAGTTTAAATAAACCAGAACTTTATGAATTATGCATACGAAAAACACAAAAACTGGAGTTAAAAGCACATAATAAGCATAAAAAACATGACTGTTAATCAAAAAATACACGGGAAAGGTGTGTTTTCTCAATGATCAAAAAAGGAGGAAGAAATAAGAGATGAACAATTTCAAGTAAGTTATGAGGGAACCACTGAAAAAGTTAGAAACAGAAAAAGCAACACTAAGGAAAACCCCCGCAAGACTGTTTTTAAAAAAAAAAGGGTAGGAGGACGAGACCTAAATTACGCGCGATAAGCAGCTGTTAGCTCTAGATCCCTTGACAAGTGCTTTGATTTGGGCCATTATGCAAACTACAGATGGTCTACGTCTAACTATATCACTGCATTAAGCTATTGGAGATAGCTGCAGCCGAGAGGCTAAGGTAAGAAAGAGGATAAAATTAAGGCTTAATAAGCCGGACGAGGGGCAGTAAGATGCCATACAAACACTTTAAAAGAGAAGAATCCGATTACAAAAGTAATTCACATACAAAAAGATGAAAAGAGCAATAAATGCATGTAAATAATTATGTTAATAAACATTACGAAAACACATTAACTCTATACTCACTTGAGACCGAGAAATATAAACAGTTTTAAAGACCATACAGAGAAATAGAGGGATAAAAATACAACAATAAACAACAGTAAATCAACACCAGCAGAGAAAATATAGGCAAGAAAGAACAATAAAAAACACAAGTACTCCTAACTTTAATAAACATTGGTTCCAAAATACAAATAAACCCATATTATTTTCTATACAAAAAATTTCGAAACAACATAATACTTAAAAAAACTTCATGTTCTCCTCCGTGTCTTCTTCTGTGCTTACACACCGTAACGCACAGCCGTGGCGAAAACCAGCACAGTTCGAACGCGAAGTCCTGTATTGTTCGGTAGCAAGCCGGCATTTTCGGCTATTTTCTGCTGCCGTTCGCGCGCATTTTCTGCTGAAAAGCAGCTAGCAGCCGCTTTTATACCGACTGCGACACCACCATTATGCCGTCATTCCACTTCCATGCTAAAAGATGCAAATTTTTTTTCAGCGCTCTGTATTCAGCGCAATAAATTTGGCAAATGCCATCACGCCTGGATGCCTCCACTCGCCTGACTGGCAATTTACCGAGTTGCTGCAAACAAGCATCTGCGATACTGTGACCGATGTATTGGGCATTAGAGTATTCTGGACAGACGGGAAGCTTCGCATGCTATGGTACGTTTGCTTTGGCCATGGACTTATCATAAATTTTGTTTTTTTTCCTTTCAAAAATGAGGTTACTTTAACAGCAGGTGAATTTCAGATTTTTTGCTTACTTCATTCTGAGTGCTACAATTTTAGCTTGCATCTGAATGGGAAGTCACAGCTAGGATAAAAGAAGCTCTGTAACCCAACTTCGATCAATCAATCCTCATTATTGCATCAAATTAGTCCCGAGTCTGTAACTCGCTCCATTTTAAGATAACAAAATTAAACTGAACAAAGGAACTAGACAGCCTGTCAGGAGGCAGCTTTGGAAGTTTGTTTGCAATTATTTAAGAAACAACTTAAAACTTTGAGTTCCCTAACTCAACCCATTTAAAGTTATAGAATTATCTCGAATTTGGTTTCGAAGTCATTTCTAGGATGAATTGCATTTCGAAAACTGAACATCTCATAGAACTGTAACCCTCAGAGTCGAAAGTTTTTATTTTCTCATTCGAAAAATACAGTGAATTCAAGCAGTTAAATGTACTTACTTCTGCGGTAGCAAGCCGCATAAAAAAGCAAAAACACATATAAGCCGACCCAGAAATCATCGACATTCTTTGGAAAGCGATATGGCCCAAAATCACCTCTCCTCAACAATAGATCGGCCCGGGCTGCCTTGAAGTATGATAACGCTGCGCCAAGCTTCTTTCCCACCAAGCGAACAGTTCCACCTTAACAAAATATGGAGAGTGCGAAAAGGCTTAACAGAATTCAGCAGTTTCACCGTCAAAACAAAAACAAGTCACTTTTCTTATCTTCTTAAATCCCTCTACTGTCCGCACAAATGACCGGACAGCTCCTCAGAATTAGTGAAACAATTCCATTAAACCCGTCGCAGTTCATCCTTCCGACTGAGTAAATCCCCCGGCCCTTACATCCCAGGCGATATGATCTGTTCTGCCAGGTAAATGCACTTCATATTCTTAAAAAGTCTGCTTCTGTCACTGGGTAGGGTATTCGGAACCGGGAAGGATTTGATGTTCGGTTGACCCAACCACAGTGAGGGAGTCCCGGGCGCAATTTCGCTTATTCCTGGAAGAAATATTTAAATAAATCTGATAAAATCAAGAAAAAAAAGCACAAAGGAAAACTCACCGACATTCGAGCAATAATTTCTGCCTCAAAATACTGCGCAATCGACGGGAGCGCATCGCGGATCCAGCTCGACCGACGGGAGCGCACCGTGGATCCAGCTCGACCGACGGGAGCGCACCGTGGGTCCAGCTCGACCGACGGGAGCGCATCGCGGATCCAGCTCGACCGACGGGAGCGCATCGCGGATCCAGCTCGACCGACTGGTGCGCATCGCGGACCCAGTGCAATCGACTGGTGCGCATCCAGCGTAAGCGACCGGGGAACATCCTACATCGGCCGGCAAGCTTGATGCGTTCCTGAGCAACTCGCGCGCAATCGACAGCTGTCTGGCCCGCGCAATCAACCGCTATACATCCCAGGCAACCGAACACAAACACATACCCTCTTTACATATGTATCACCCAAATCCTGAAATCGGTGAATGCTATCGCTAGAATGCCGAAGGGGACAAACGATTGGGACTGTGTGCGTGTGTGTTTTCACGTGAATTAATTACGGCATTTCACAAAACAAAACACATAATTCCAGCAGGCCATTTTACATAACATACATTTCTTAGCTAATTTATTACTTCTTCTTTTTACATCTTTCCCCTTTTTCGACCTTTTCTATCATCCATTTCTACATTTTCTAACAAAATTTCCACTTAACCTTAAATACCTTAAAATTACAAGCAGTACGTACAGAGCGATTAGACCCTGCGCCGTGGTAAGCTCTGAGCAGAGAGAGCTGAGCTCGAGCTAGCAGTAACAGTTAGGGAAGTGTGGTACACAACTCGTCATTACGTGGCTCAGCACGCCGGTATCGGCTACTGTCGCGGATGAGGCTACTTTTACCACTACACGCAGACTACCTCTTTCCATAAAGGTGAACTTTGATCACTTATTATTTCCACTTTCTTGTTCATAAATGTTTTCTTGATTTCTAAACAATTTCGTTTTTCTTCTTTAACTCCCCTTTTATTACTATACACCGACTACCTCTTTCCACAAAGACCTAGCTACATCAAAAACCCCTGCAGCTGATGTATCCCTTATTATCTCAGCGAAACGCGTCGAAATTGCCCGATTAGCAAAAATGCGAAAAACAGAATACCGCATACACAACCAGTCGGGAGATGCGCACAATTTCACCATAGCCGCATAGTGTTAGCCGGAAAATCAATAAAGCCTCCTGGAAAGTAACAGCTAAAACTCGGCATGGCTCGGCCGGGCCAACAAGTGAGTTGGAACCAATGAAAGAAAGGGGGGAGGGGAGAGAGGTGAAGGGCCGAAGGCAAGAGGGAAGGGATGCGGGTAAAGGGATAGTGGAAGTTAAGTCCCGGGACAGTAACGAAGAATGTGTTATTGAATG